CCGAGAGTAATTGTTTTCTATAGCCTCAGCTAAAACTGATTTTTTCTCCAGGTGTTTCATCAAGAACGTGATTGTTTTCATAAGGAGCCCATGTCGTAATGCATCTGAGAGGCTAATGTTTGGTTTGGTTTTGTCTGATAATAAACCCTTGCTAGCAGCTGCAATTATGAGTACTGTGCACCTGTATTTGTGTCTTTTACCAACCCCTTTCAATATCCAAAATGCCTTTACAAACTGCCTCATGCAAAGACATTTTAGTACCTGTTGTTACATCTGTTTATAAGCATTGTATCGGATGATAGTTGTCCAGAAGACAAGGCACAGTCAAAGATACTACTTTACCATCAACTTTGACCTTTCCATATTTGAGCTGTAGGAATTGCTTTCAATAGCCTGTAGCAATGTAAGAGGCTTTTTCTTTTCAGTAACTATTCCCTTATGAATTGCATTGGTTACTGGGATATCCTTATTTGTTGTTGGATCTACAATGGTGCCTTTATCTGTGTTAAATAAACCAGATTGAATGGCCTTTTAAGAGTGACTTTCCATCCTGTTTCAACCATAGTGCCTTCAGCATCAATAAGATTTTTCTCAATAGCTTTAGCAAGTGTAATGTTTTGCTCTGTGGAAGCATCAAATACAGAATTGTTTCTTGATTGTAGATTCTTGCTTTATAGCCTTCTCGAGGCTTACTGGGTCATTCAATTTTTGCTCCTCTTTATTTCCATAATTCCATACTGAATAGCCTCAATGAGTGATACTGAGGCCCCAGTTTGTAAATCTGAAGAGTTCCATTTTCTAAATTTACTAAAACCATGGTCAACTGCTTGTGCTAGAGATATCTTTGAGTTTCCCTCAGGATCTTTGATGATTGTTTTCTCACTATCTATAATGCCAGATTAATAGCTTCCCTCAAACTCATGATCTCCCTGTAGATGGGTCTGTTACCTTCCCTGATTTCTTATCTACAAGGCCATATGCCATAGCATCTACTAATGTCATAGATGATTGTTCATTGTCAGACCAAGTCCAGCAGCAATTGCCTCATGAAGAGGAGTACTTTGTCTAGAATCTGTATTGACTAAATCACCAGTCTGAGGTTCAACAACACCAGATTTTATTGCACTAGATAATGTTATATTCTTTCCAGTCAATGGATCTTTCACAAAGGTACCTGTTCCATCAATAATTCCAGCTCGGACAGCTTCACCTACTGTCATTTCTTGCTGTGTGAAAGGATCAATTATATTTCCATTTTCAGTGTTCACCAATCCCTTCTTGGAGGCCTCATTAAAGTAATGACTTTTGAGGCACTGTGGAAGAATATATTCCTTCATGAATGGCAGTCAGGAGTGGGACCTTTTGTCCAGATTCAGTATTATTTATTTGACCTGATTTGTCCACAATTTTTCTCTTTATTGCTTCATCCAATGTTATAACCTCCCCACTAGTTGGATCTCTGATTTGAGTATTCTTGGAATCTATTATCCCTTTATCAATGGCTTCTTTGAATGTTAATAGTTCACCTGTTCTGGGGTCTGATATCTGGCCTGTGAATGTATTGACAAGACCATGTTTGAATGCATCAGTTACAGTCATTGTTTCAGATTCAACATCATAAACCAAGCCACTTTCCACTGCATCAAAAATAGGTATACTAGCACCACTTGTTTGACTTATGATTTGTCCACTCTTTGGATCTACAATTCCTCTCTGAATTGCATTGACAAGACTTATAGTTTTGTTTGTGATGGATCAGATATACATGGTGTTTCTCCATCAATAATCCCCCTTTCAATTGCTTCATTTAGAGAGTACTCTATCCCAGTGCTTGGATCAAGAATTTTACCACTTTCGTAATCAACAAGGCCTTGCCTTGAAGCAGTTGCAATACTAACACTACTGGCTGTAACATCATTCAGAATTCCCTCCTGAACTGCACTGGCTAATGACATAGATTCACCAGTTTTGATATTCTGAACTTGTCCAGTAGCTATGTTAATTATTCCAGCATCAATTGCTTCAGTAAGGCTTAGTATAGAGCCACTTGCTGGGTCCTTTACCTGTGTTGTCTGGAATCTACGAGGTGTGTTTTAACTGCTTCTTCAAGTTGCATTTCTTTTCCTGTGTTTGGATTGATGAACTTTCCATCTGCTGAAACACCAGACCGAATGATGTCTAACAATTTTGGTGTAGGACTTTTCCTAGGATTTACAACATCAACAAGTGACACATTTTCTCCCGTACTAGGATTATATATATCTCCTGTTTCAGCATTTACTATTCCTTCTCTAAGGGCATCCAGTAAGGTTGTACATTTTCCTGTTTCAGGATTTCTTATCTCACTTGATGAAGCATCAATTACACAGAAAGGATTGCTTCTCCCAAAGTCATGTCCCCACCCGTAGTAGGATTTGTGATCTGCCCAGTGCTTTGGTTTATAAGGCCCTTTAAGGCAGCTTCTGCTATTGTCATTTGAGGCTGGGTATCAATGAGCATTCCTTCTCTTAAAGCATCTGTTATTGTTATTATCTGTCCAGTATTCTGGTCTTGCATTGTTCCATTTTCTAAATCTACTATATCATTTCAATTGCTTCTTTGAGAGAGATCTCTTCTCCTGACTTTTGTTTTAATACTATTTTCTTGGTATCTATTAAACCTTGTCTAATAGCATCTGATAGAGTTACCTTTGCTCCTGTCTTTGGATGAGTGACATAGCCAGAACTTCCATCAATCAACCCTTTGTCTATTGCCTTAGTTAGTGACATTGTCACTTGTATCCTCAATTATACCTGTTGTAAAGCACTATTTATACTTATCCTCCTATTAGTCCTTGGCTCAATAAGCTCTCAGTGGTGGTATCAACCATTCCTTGTTCAATTGCATTTGACAATGACATTTGACTCCCTGTATGTGTATCCTTTATCATACTCTTAGTGCCATCAATAAGACCACTTTCTATGGCTTGTTTCAGAGTTGTAGACAAGCCTGACTCTGGGTCAAGTATTTTCCCAGTGTTTTGTCAACCAATCCTCTTGAGAAGGCTTCGTCTATTGTCAGCATTGGCTGTTTTCGTTCCAGTAGGACACCAGATTTATGGCTTCATTTAGTGATATTTTGTTTCCCGAGGTGTCAACCATTTCACCAGTTTGTTCATTGATTTTCCCGTGTTCAATAGCTTGAGACAATGTCAATGTTTTGCCTGTTTTAGGATCTGGTATGCATGTGTCAGTGTCTGATATTAGGCCAGAGTTTATTGCATCAATGATATTTAGTTTCTGCCCAGAGGCTGGATCAGTAACCTGACCAGTCAGTGAATTTATTAACCCTGCTTTTGATGCTTCTGATAATGACATTGATTTGTGTTCTTTTTCAACAACAAGCCCTTTTGATAGGGCTTCATGTAATGATATGTTTCTATCTTGTGAAACATCAAAGACCTGCCCTGTTTTAGTGTCTACAATGCCTGATGATATGGCATCTGAGAGAGTTAGTGACTGCCCAGTGATTGGATTTTGCACAATTGTTTGTCTGGCATCCACTAGTCCTGATTCAATGGCTTCATCAATAGTGATTTGTTTACCAGACATTGGGTCTTTTAGTTGTCCGGTCTTTGGATCAATAAGGCCTTTTGTAGCAGCACCTTGCAATGTTAGTGCCATTTTTCATCCTTTATAAGACCTGTCATAATTGCTTGTTTGAGGGGAAAAGTTGTACCTGTTTCAGAATTAATCAGCTCCCCTGTTGTTCCATTTATGAGGCCATCTTCTATGGCCTTTTGAATAGGAACAAACTTTCCAGTTTGTAAATCACGAACAACTGTTCCCCCACAACTGATAATTCCCTTTTCTAAAGCTTCCTGGAAGGAAAACTCTTTACCTGTGACTGGATCTTTAATTTACCTGTATCTGTTGATAGAAGGTCCTGGTCAATAACTCGCTGGATACTTATGGGTTCTGTGACAGCTCCTGCAATAACTCCTTTCTCAATTGCTTCATTGAGAGATATAGGCTGGTCTTTTCTGTTTGATTTTATCTTTCCAGATTTCCCATCAACAATTCCTTGATCAAGTGCTTCTGATAAGGTCACTTCCTCATTTGTATTTAGGTCTACTACTTTGCTAGTCTTACCATCTATGACACCATACTGTATTGCATCCTGATAGTCAGTTGGTCCCCTGTCAAAGGATCAGTTATTCTTCCAGTGTATTTATTCACTAGTCCCTGCTGGAGGCATCGAGCAATGTCATTAAAGGCTTTTCTTCATCAGTATCATCAACCACCTTTGCTGCCACTGCTTCATCCAATGATATTTCTTCACTAGTGAAGGAGCCAGTCTGAGCATCTATTACACCTTTCTGTATTGCAGTTGCTAGAGTGATGTTTTTGCCGCTAGTTGGGTCTTTTACAATACTTGATTCTGCATCAATGAGTCCAGTTTCAATGGCTTCTTCTAGATCTAGCTCTTCCCCAGTGGATGGATTGGTGAGTTTTCCAGTTTGCTTATTGTATAGACCTTGCTGCATTGCCTCCTTCAACTTAAAGCCTTTGAGTTTAGTAGCTATAATGATAAACCTCTTTTGACACCTTGAACTAAGGTCATCGTCTCACCTGTTACAGGGTTTGTGTAGTTACCAGATTTAGCATCAATTAAACCTTCCTTGACAGCTTGATCCATAGATAAAAGCTTTCCACTTCTTGTGTCTTTCACTTTATATGAAGCTTTGCTTATGAGTGACGATTTCAGTGCTTCATCAAGGGTCATTTGTATTCCAGTTTTAGGATCAGTGAAGCGACCTGTTTCTTTGCTATATACTCCTTTTTTCATGGCATCCTTCATACTTATATCAGTGGGACTATGTCTTGGTCCCTGTAGAGCAGATGTTAAAGAGACAAGTTTTCCTGATTTAGGATCTACAAGAGCTCCTCTTTTTGCATTAACTACACCTTTGGCAACAGCATCTTTGAGTGAAATTGCCATATTTGTGGAAGGATCAAAAATCTGACTTTGTTTAGCATCAATGAGGCCCGATTTTATAGCATCAGCTAATGTAACTTTCTTGCCAGTTCTTGGATCTGTAACTTGACCAGTCTTAGTGTCATAATTACCCTGTCTGTTAATATCACTGAGTGTAAAGTTAGGCTTTTTGGAGTCAAAATGTGTCCATCGTGCATTGCAGCTGAGAATGTGCTGCTTTTGTTGCTACCCTCATTCACAATGATTCCCGTTTCTGTATCAAATATTCCTGCATTGATTGCCTCTTCTAAAGACATTGCTGAACCAGTCAGTGACGCAGCTAAGATTGTATTGGTAGCATCTATAATGCCAATAGTTATGGCTTCTCTTAAGCTCATTTCTTTACCTGTTTTTGGATCAATGACTATGCCTGTGTCAGGAAAGTATATTCCTTCCTTAGCTGCTTCAGTGAGGCTCATGCGCGAGGGTATTGTTTCAATAAGACCTTGACTGACTGCTTCTTGAATATCCATGACACGGCCTGTTGAAGAGTTCATGATTTTCCTGTTGTTAGATCCACAATCCCTGCATCAACAGCCTCCTTCAGACTTAATGTCTTCCCTGTATGGATATCTCGCACAACTGTGTTATCTGAATCAAGCATTCCTCGTTCAATAGCTTCTGCTATGGTAATATCATCCCCAGACTTTGGGTCCCTGAGTGTGCCTTTACTCACATCATAATTTCCCTGAGATATCATTTCCTCAATAGATACACTTGTTATTGAATCTACATCAATCACACCATGCATAACAGCATCACTCATACTCATGCTTTGACCACTTGCATCTCTCACCTGACCAGTCACCTTATTCACAATGCCCTTTGCAATAGCTTCTGAGAGAGACATTTGCTTCCCACTGGCATCCTTCAGAACTGTATTTTGACCATCAATGATTCCCTTAGCAACGGCCTCTTCTATACCAATCTGATCGCCTGTTTCTGGATTGACAACAAGACCAGAGTGAGAATCTACAACACCAAGACTGATAGCTTCAAGGAGGTTCAAGGCTGGTTTCTTTGTGAAAATATTACCATTACTAAATGCTTCACTTAGATTCTCTGATGTTCCAGTTTTATTGTTGTAAATGTCACCATTAACTTGATTGACTATTCCTTTCCAATTGCTTCATTCATGCTCATCTGAAGTCCTGTGATGGGATCCTTCACCAAGATGTTATCTATGTCTATGATTCCCTGACTGATTGCTTCAGCAAATGTAAATTTACTGTTGGATGTTGGTTCTAAAAAACACTTATCTTGTGGGTCATACATATTTTCAACTAATGCGTCTGCTAAGCCCTTTGGTTCAATCAGTGATTCAATAGATGCTAGCCTATCACTTACTTTGACCTGTACTACATCTGTCAATGGAACCATTTCTCCTGTTTCCTTCAAAATTTTGCCTGACAATGGATCTAAAATCCCACTATCTATGAGTGATTCTATGGTTGCCTCAACTTTTGTGATTGGATCTATAATACTTGACTGTTTATCTAAGATGTTCTGATCAATAGCTTCCTGAAGTGTCATTTCTTGATTGGTACTTTTGTTCAGAATCTTCCCAGTTCTTGGATTATATTTCCCACTTGCAATCAGATCAGTGATTGATTCAACTTTGTCTGTTTCAAATATCATCCCTTTTGATAAAGCTTCTTTTAATGGAACATATTGACCTTTACTGATATCAAGCAAGGACCCAGATTCCAAATTTATAAGACCCCTATCAATAGCCTGGCTAAAATAATCACTTCATCAAGAGAGGGTATTGAAATTCTAATGTCAGAGGTGTCAATCTGATTCTCTAGGATAGCTTTTTCAAGTGAAAGTTTTTGACCAGATTTAGGATCAAAGATAGTATTTGATATCATGTCATAAGCTTGGCTTCTGAGGACACTCAACAGTTTTGGTTTGTGGGCAACTGATTTGGGGGATGGCTGAGGTAATATAAAGGCCTTGATTAAAGCCTGGTGAAAGGGAATAGGCATGCCTGATTTTGAGTCTAGTATATCTCCAGTCACTTTGTCTACTAGCCCCTCAGCTATAGCCTGGGCAAGTGGAAGAGTACCACCACCGCTGTGAATCAAGACACCGGACTTGTCCAAAGTTGCAAAAGATATATCCTGTAAAGCAATTCTGGTTAGTGAAACACCCCATTATCATGCACATTCCAAATCAAAATGCAAAATAAAACAAAACCAAAATAAATAAACAACATAAAACAACAATTAAGAACAAGATGCTTTCAAACAAATCAAAATAATAAAATTATAATACATGATTATAGTGTTACTCAAAAAAGGAATTGTAAACAATACTTAATTTAAAAAATATACAATCAGGTCAAAAATGAATGTTTTGGTGGAAAGGCTGAACTTACTCTAATAAAATAGCAAAAAATCATTTTATTCCAAAATCATGAAAAAAAAATATTAGCCCAAAACATTCACAGATTGACCACTGATTGCAAAGATTAATACAACATAACAAATTTGGTTCTTACCTGACTGTAAGCCCCAAATGTTGATCTGCTGAATATAGAAGAGGTTTCAGATAGCTCATCATCCTGTCGAAACCTTTGACCCATAGCTCCAGACCACTGTTGGGGTTCCACTATTTCCAAAATACCTCGCTGCATTGCATCATCAATGGATAAAGTGACGCCTGTTGTAGTGTTGACAACTTCTCCATTGGATGTCACTTCAAATCCAGGAATTGTAGCCATAGTTGGAATATCAGAGGTTGGTGATATCTGCTTCTCGCGGTCTTCTATGTAACCCTTTTGAATAGCTTCTGTAACATCCATCACTTGTCCAGTCTTTGGATGCTTGTACTTTGTCCCTGTTGTGTCCACAATACCCCTTTCACTTGCCTCAGTAACAGACATTGGTTGTAATAGGCCTCGTTTAATGGCTTCATCAGTAGTTAATGTCTCACCAGTCTGAGGGTTGTGGTATGTGCCTGACCTGGCATCTACAATACCTTTTCTTTCTGCTTCAGTTAGCGTTAGTGGCATACCTTTCTTGAATGTACCAGGAAGAAGTATCCCTTCCATAACAGCTTCCTCAATTGTCATTCTCTCTCCTGATTGGGGGTTTATATATTCACCACTTCTAGTATCAACAAGACCTTGCTGAATAGCTTGACCTATGCTTAGACCAGATTTGTGTTCATCATCAAATGATTTATCAGGGGATGAAGCTAATAGTCCTTTCTTAACTGCTTCTTCTAATGACATCTTCTTTCCAGATTTTGGATCTTTGAAAATTCCAGTTCTTTCATCTAGATGACCTTGTTGAACAGCTTCTGATACAGTGAGGCCTGGTTTGCCTGACGCAGGCTTGGTTTCCATGGACATTCCACTATCTAAATATCCCTGTTCTACAGCATCTTGAAGTGGAATTTTCTGTCCAGTTTGAGGAATGATGAATGATTGTGTATCAAGATCAATTAGATGACTTGCCACTGCATCGTCTACAGTGATTTTACTCCCAGGTTGAACAGATGTAATTGAAACACTGTCTCCTTTGGAGGTCACTTGAGTGAAGGCACTTTGTTCTGATCGTGTGTATGTGTTTGTTGATGACTGAACTTCTGAATACCCAGCAGATGCTATGGCACCACCAAATTCAGGCGCAATGATACCATCAGCAATAGATTGCTCAATGGATTTCAGTTGCCCTGTTTTAGGATCCTGAACTTTGCCAGTTTTTGTGTCAATGATACCACTTTGAAGAGCCTCTGCAATAGTCATAGCATCATCTGTAGTGCCTGATTTAACAGGTTTTCCAGAATTGTCCAAGATGAGTCCTTGTTTGATGGCCACATCAACTGGTATTTCAATCCCAGTGGTGGGATCAGTGAAGTTTCCTGATATTGGGTCGATTAGCCCTGAAGACAAAGCTTGTTGGAAGGTGACATCTCCGGGTTTTGACATTTCTTTTTCCTGAACTGCAGTTGTTTTACTTGATTGAAAGCTTGTGCCCACATCAGACAGAGTTCTGGATGTGAATTCTCTCTGCTCAACACTAGCATCAATAAGGCCTCTCTTTATGGCATCACCAATGGACATCCTTTCGTCTGTGGAGGGATCCATATATTCCCCACTTGATGGGTTGAGAATTCCTTGTTGTACTGCTTGACTTACACTCAGTTTTTCTCCCGTTGTCGTGTCAGTCACACCATGAACCTTATAGTTGGCTATCTTACTGGGAGATTGTATTGGGATTCCATAGGATTGAGATTCTTGAAGAGGAAGAGGTGAGCTAACCTCTCCTGTAGTGACCAAACCTTTGTCAACTGCATCGTCAAGTTTGATCTCTTCACCAGTGATGGTATTTATGAAGACTCCCTTCTGTGGATCAATTATTCCTCTTTCAACAGCATCTGCCACTGGAATTTCCTCTCCTGTTGATAGATCAATGACTGTTTTTATTTCCAGTGTCTGTGGCTCCATTGCACCTCTACCACCAATATCTTGACCAGGTTTATGAACCCCATTGAAATCGCATTATCAAGGGACATGATTTCCCCAGTTAATGGATTTGTGTAAATTGCAGCATTTATGTTAACCATTCCTTGACTTTCAGCTTCAGCAACAGTCAAGCCTTGACCAGTTCTTGGATCTACTACAATTGTGGAAGAACTAGATGATTGGATTGATTGTTTTGTAGTTGTAAGGAAACTGTAGTGTGGATCTGCTTAGCCTCAACAAGGCCAGATTTGATTGCATCATCAATGGATATTGTCTCCCCTGTGGCTATATTAGTGAATGTTCCAGATGTCTGATCAATGATTCTCCGCTGTTCAGCTTCCTCTACTGAGATAGTCTCTCTTGTGTGTGGGTCAATTACACCATTCAGAGAATAAGTGACAGTTGCTCCAGGAGTTTCAGATGAATACACAGCAGTGGATGGGGCTTTTGAAGCATCTATTGGTTCAGTCTTCACAAGACCTCTTGATATGGCTTCATCAATGGACATTGTTTCATCTGTTAGTAAGTTGACATATTCTCCCTTTGCTTTATCTACTATCTGGTGCCGTACAGCATCAGCAATTGGAATTTCCTCTCTGTTCGTGGATCAAGGACTGATTTAATTTAAAGGACCCAGTTTCATGGAGGACAGCTGTTTTTAACAGCTCCACTTCCAGGTGTTAGCTCCTTTACTTTTATTAGGCCTTTAGCAACAGCATCTTGTATGGCCATAGTTTCACCAGTCATTGTATCAATGTATTTACTTTTATCAGGGCTAACCAAACCTTTCTGTATGGCCTCAGACACAGGAAGGTGTCTTCCCGTTTCAGGATCAACAACAGATTCTACTGCGAATGCTTTAGTTTCAAAGACTGCTGTTGTTGAAGCAGACTCCCTGGAGAATTCAGACGAGGCCTCTGCATTGATAAAGCCCTGGGTTATTGCTTCCTGTATAGATAAAGTTTGTCCTGTCTGTGGATTTGTGTAGATACCTTTAGCTAAATCAATCATACCAGAAGCTAATGCTTCTTCCACTGGAATTTCCTCATTTGTAAAGGTATCTCGGACTGATTTAAGACTAAATGATTGTTCAAATGCTTGCCCAGGTGGCAGGAGTTCACCCTTCGATGTATCAGCGGAAATCAATCCTTTCTGTATAGCGTCCTTCATGGATACCTCTTCGCCAGTCCTTGGATCTTTGTATTTCCCCTCAACCACATCAAGAATACCTTTCTCAACTGCTTTGGAAGCAGATATTGACTTTCCAGTTGATGGATCTATAACAGAGTTGATACTGAAGCTCTTCTTTTCATGGAGTAGTTGTGCTGTCATACCACTAACAATTGTTGTTTCTTCCTGAACAACATCAACCTCCTTTGCATTGATAAGCCCTGCTCAACTGCCTCTTCAATTGTCATCCTTTGGCCTGTCTTTGGGTTCTTGTACATTCCACTAGTGTGGTCTAATATTCCTTCATTTATAGCCTTCTGTACAGATATTGGCTTGTTTGTTCTTGGATCAATCATGGATTCAATGTGGAACTGCATATGCTCTGCAACTTGGGTTTTAGCCAGTGTTCCACTTTGAATAATCTCTTCTCTAGAAACGATGGAGTCAATAACCTTGCCCTTTATTAGTCCTAATTCTACAGCAGAGGCTATAGGAATCTTCTCTCTTGTTACTGGATTGATGTAAAGACCAGCATCATGATCAATGATTCCATCTTGTAATGCTTTCTCCGGTGAGATTTCTTGGTTAGTTCTAGGATCTATAACAGCACCTACTGCCATTTTTGTCTGTTCCTTCACAGTTGTGGTCCTGGTACTTGGTTCTTGTTCAGGTATATGTTTCTTCCTGATGGTATGCTCATTGACAGCCTCTCCAAGACTTAACTTGTGTCCAGTTTTTGGATCGACATAATGTCCTGTTGAATCTAACAGTCCCTTTTCAATTGCTTCCTTCAGATTGAAAAGTTTGCTTGTCCTTGGATCAATTAGTTCAGCTGATAAGGGATCAATAAGGCCAGCATCCAGAGCTTCTTCTAGTGTCATTTCAACACCAGTATTAGGGTCAGTAAACGCTCCCGTTGATTTATCTACCACTCCTCTTTCAATGGCCTCACCTATGGGCATACCTCTTGGGCGGGACTCTGTAGTAGAAGAAAACTGCTTCACTTTAGTGAAATCTACAATGTCAGCACTTCTTTTGACCATTTCTTTAGATTTTACATTCTGTACTCCCTTCTTTACTGTATCAACTACGGCCTGCCCAGCGAGAATGGGAGCCGCAACAATTGCCATAAGTCCAAGTTTAGTAGCTTCTTTCACGGACATTCTGCTACCTGTTGAAGCATCCATGAACATTCCTGTGTAGGCATCAATACGACCTGCATCAATAGCCTGTTGCAATGTCCATGTTTACCAAGAGCTGCATCATACAGTTTTGAGTTAGGATTGATGAATCCTTTCTTTATGGCATCCTGAATCCCCATGTGTTGTCCTGTTTTGGGGTCAGTGAATTCTCCTGCTTCAGCGTTGAATAGCTGTTGCTTAATGGCCTCCGAAAATGTCATTGGAAATGGTAGTCTTGGGATGATTCAATAGTTGCATCAACAAGACCCCTCTCAATAGCAATATTAAGGTCCATGACAACACCAGAAGAAGGATCTTTAAAAGTGTTGTTTACAACATCAACAATACCACTGTCTATTGCTTCGTTGAAGGGAATCCCAGAACTTGTAGTTTGTTTTGAGGTTATGGATGAAGTGGTCACTTGCTGTGTTTGGCTCGTACCTCCCTCTGTTATAGTAACACTTACTCCACCTTCTGGAATGATCAAATAACCCTGTTTAACGGCATCATCTAATGGCATTTGTATTTTGGTAATGGGTTCAGTGAAAGTATTCGACTTAAGATCGATAAGGCCATTTTCAACTGCTTCTTTGAATTTAATCCCATCTGGTGGAGCAATGTATGTAGTAGTGTCTGCTGGTTTCTTTCTTGATTCAATAGGGGCAACAATGGGCTCTAGAACATATCCATTTGACAGCAGCAGACAGTGACATTATTTCACCAGTATTCGGATCCCTAAATGTTCCACTTCCAAGATCCACCATTCCCTTCTCTACTGCCTGTTCCAAAGGTATACCATGTACTTTAATTGTGGTAGTTTTGGTTTCAATGACACTCCTTTCTTCTTCAGTCACTGACACATATCCAAGTTCTACAGCAACAGTAAGTGGAAGCTCTTGTCCAGAATTGGGGTCCTTGTATATACCTAATTCCATATCCACAAGACCTTGTTGTACAGCAGTTGTTAATGTTGCTTCTTTAGTTTTTCCCAATCCTTTTTCGGGGATATAGCCTTCAAGACATGCCTCTGTGAATGTGTAGGTTTTCCTGTATTTTTGTTGATGAAGTCTCCATTATGGGGGTTTACTATTTTTCTTTTGATGGCATCTGCTAGTGTTATCTTTTTGTTGGTAGCTGGGTCTATAACAATGGACCTGTCTGGGTCAATAAAACCTCTATCAATAGATTCCTCTATGGTCATCCTGTATCCAGTGAATGGATCCTTTACTCTACCTAGTGGAACGATCGCAAGTCCTTTCACATAGGCGTCATTGATGGTAAATGGAGGGGAAAGGGTGGTTTGACCAAGCCTGGTTTGATAAGCTCACCAATGTGAGTATCAATAGGCCTCTCCTTACTGCATCATTCACAGACATCTTTTCACCACTCTTGCTGTCAGTTATTACCCCAGTCTGCCAATCGATTATGGCCTCTGAGATTTGGGTCTGCTTAAGGTCAACTGCAGATCGAGTTTCAGGATCATTTTGTCCAGTTAGGAAAGCCACTGTTTTAGCTGTATTGGGTCAACAAGATTCAATCTTACTGCTTCTTGAAGTGTGATTTGTTTCCCAGTTGTAGGATCAGTAACAGTGCCTGTTGTCCAGTCTATGATTTCAAGTCCTGCTTGCATCTTAACAGTTTCAGTTTTCTTCTGGTCAGTTGATGTTTGAGGTCTGGTTGGCTTGGCAATAGTTGGCTTCTGGGCTTGATCTTGATCAGATTTAGTGACATCAATTGTTACAGTGGGGAATTCCTTTGTTTTTGTAGTGGTAGCTGTTACTTGTTGATGTACACGGGGTTGACTGAATTCTGGTGTTTCTATGGTGATTTCCTGGCCAGTTTCAGTGGGTCTACCCAGCTGAAGCTGCGACAGAGGCTCTGATCTACCATTAACTACAGGCTTTGAGTCTAATGCATCTAATGGTTCTAAAGGCATGATTGCTGGTTTAATATTATCCCCATTGATTGCCCCTGAATCACGAATGGTAGTTGAAATCATTTCTGTTGTCCCAGTTACCCTCTGTACTGCTTCTAATATAGCACCACCAGCCAGGACAGGAGCACCTACTACTGCAAGCAATCCCCTCCTTGCTGCTTCGCCCAAGCTAATCTTTCTACCACTCACCTCATCCAAATATTGGCCACTGTCTTTATCAACAATACCTTTCCTTATGGCTTGTTTTAAAGGTATGTGTTTACCAGACTCAGGATCATACACCATAGCACCATCCCCAGATACCACACCTTGTTGGATAGCACTCTCAAGTGACATTGTTTACCAGTAGTGGGATCAGTCACTTCAGTTGTAGCAGGGTTGTAGGCACTTGCAAATAAATCAGGTCAATGGCATCACTGAATGTGACAACAGTTTGATTGGTTTGTTTGTCTACGATATTTCAGTTTTGCCATCAACAAGACCTTGTTTGAGAGCATCATCCAAAGACACTCTGTTTCCAGTGTTAGGATCCATCACTACCATGGTCTTTCCATCAATAAGGCCTTGTTTAACGGCATCTCCCAACGTTATTTTCTTTCCAGTCTGTGGGTGTATAATTCTCCAGTCTTTGCATCAAGGAGACCACATTTAACTGCATCTTCTAGATTAGATGGTTGACCAGATGATGCCTTGAATGGGGTGTTCCATTGTGATTCCATGGTTTTGCAAGAGCTGTATTCACAGTGCCTGTTCCTTGTCCAATGAGATTTCTATGAAGGAGTCGGTGAGAGAGTAGACAGTTCCTGTTCTGATATCAGTAACAGCTGGCTCATCTGGGTCAATTCACCTTGCTTCAAAGCTTCTTGGAGTGTCATCAGTTTCCCAGTGTTGGGGTCCCTTACTCTTCCTGTTTTGGGGTTGAGGATCCCAAGCTTAACTGCAGTGGCGTAGGATATGGGATAAATAGTTGTCTCAGCTGGTGATGGGATCTCTTCGGGTATGTTATATTGTCAATCAGATATTGATGCAGGGGCTCCTGATACTATGACACTACCAGTTGTTACAGTCATTGTGACTTTCTCTTTAGGTTTCACTTCAACAAACTCGTCAACAGATTCCATTCTGTCAAATGGCTTCTTGATTTTGCCTTCCTCAGATTTGGCTGGATTCACGAATCCTTTATGAATTGCAGTTTGTATTGGAATTTTCTCCTTTGTTACTGGGTTGTAGAATCTTGTCTCACCATCATCAAGTAGTCCATCACGCTTGGCTTTAGCTACAGAGATTTCTCTACCAGTTCTAGGATCAATCACAGCCTGGATATCTTGCTGGATAGCATGTACATCACTATGGAAGATCTCAGATTCCTTCTTGTGACTAGCTCGCCATGAATAAGACCTTGTTTAGGGCATCTGTGATTGCCATCTTTTCCCCTGTATCAGGATTGGTGAATATTCCCTTCTGTCATCAACTATACCTTGCAATAATGCATCATCAAAGGTAATCATTTCCATTGTGCGGGGATCAATAACTCCAGTGATGCTAAACTTTTTTGTTTCTTCAATAACATCTTCACTTGCCATTTCCTCTCCTCTATCCAACAGATCAGTGATGTGTACACTCTCGATGCTGTCTCTTCTCTTTACTTTATGTTGTCTTAGTACTGCTTCAGTGAGAACAAGACCCTTTGTCTATAGCATCACTTATAGACATCTTATCACCAGTCACTATGTTAGTATAGTAGCCATTTACTTGATCTAAGATTCATCTTCAATGCTTGAGTCACATTCATTCTACTGCCTGTTCTTGGATCTACTGCACCAACAACTTTAAGGGTTGTTTCTTTAGAGGTAGTAATGCTGCTTTCTTGCCCATCTGCAGCAGTACCAGTGAGATATCAGCAATAATAAGGCCCTGCTTGATGGCTTCTGTGATAAGCAGTGTCTCTCCGGTAACTGGATAACATACTGTCCCTTACTTTGATTGATCATGCCCTTTTGCAGCGCTTCAGATATAGGGACCTCTTCTCCAGTTGCTGTATCAATCACTCCTTGGATGGAATATGTTTTAGTTTCTTGGACAAATGCGCCATTTGCTCATTGCGTTCCTTCTCTTCTGCTATGACCAGACCCTCAGCAATGGCTTGAGCCATAGGCATACGCCTGCCATCAGCTGTTTTATAAACACCATGCTGAAGGTCAATGATACCCTGACTAACTGCATAACTGACATCTATCTTCATACCAGTTGATGGGTCAATGCAACCAGTAATGCTGTATGCCTTGGATTCGGCTTGCTTTATGGTCTCCTCATCAGCATCAAGTAGCAGATGTTTATTTCTAATGATATCTCCCAGGGTGAAACGTCTACCTCGTCATCATTAAGTGGCCTGATGCTTCAATAATTTCTCTAAGTAAAGCTTCTCTCAGCCTCATTGTCTCTCGTGTCTCAGGATGGACAAATATGGCAGTGTCAGGGTCAATATAGCCTCGGTTGATTGCCTCTTTCAGAGTAAGAGTCACACCTGTCTTAGGATCCTTGAAGATCCCAGTCTTTGTGTTCAACATTCCCTTGGAGATGGCTTCCTTTACTGTTTTAGTAGTAGGCACACTATCCTCAATGGCAAGTGTGTCTTGACTAGGTTGAGTACCATTGAATTCAGCAGTTATTGTTTGGCTATAGAGGTAGTTGTGGTTTCACTTGCACCATGGACTGTACTTTGCCATTGTGAGCTAAGCTGTAGACGGCCCCTGACTAACCCGCCTCATCAAGCTTGATCACCTGACCTGTCTTAGGATCTTTAAATGTTCCCTTTTGCTCATCCAACAATCCTTGTGAAACGGCCTCAGAGAATGTTACAACACCTTTAGATTCCTGTTCAGTTGATGTTTTCTCTATTGAGTGGTGACTGTTGTTGTGGTCATCATGGGGCTGGTTAGCTGCATGAGTTTCTCTGCATTCTCTGGGGCCAGAAGGCCAGTTGTTGCAGCATCCTGGAGACTCATTGCAGATCCACTCTCCAAATCATTTAGCTGGCCAGTGGCTGGGTCAAGTATACCATCCTTGATAGCATCCAATATGTTGATTTCTCTGCCACCCAGGTCTACGACCCCACAGTCGGATACTAGCTTATCAGCCAGGTCACTGTGATGTAACCTTGTCTCACGGCCTCTGTGATGGACAATGACTGTCCTGTTCTCTTATCTGTGTATCGGCTGGTATTGATAATCTATTATGCCTCTCTGGATGGCTTCAGGTAGACTAAGCTGCTCATTTAAGATTGTATCCTTGATCCCTTTGTTTGCGAAATTGACATCTTCGCTCACAATTTGAGCAAGGCCTTCATTAACTGCATCCTGAATAGGCATTTTCTTACCAGTCACTGGATTAACAAATCTGCCTTGTCTATCAATCAGACCTTTTTCCATGGCCTCAGCTAAGGATAGGACCTCATTTGTTCTAGGATCCACTATACATTTAGTGTCAGTGTCCAATATACCTTTTGGATAGCTTCAAATATTGTTAGTTTTACGTTTAAATTGCATGTCTGTTAAATTACCATCATCTGCTAACAGTCCCTGTGTTACTGCTGTATGCAGGGGCATTGGCTTATTAACATCCCTTGTCCCTGGCATCTTTTAATGATATTTTAGTGCCTTTTTTATCAAATATTGTCCAGTTTTGGGATCTAGTATTCCTTTTTTAATAGCTTCTATCACAGTTATTTTATTGCCACTGACTGGTCTACAATTTCCAGTATATCTCCAGCTAGAAGACCTCGTTCAATAGCAGCATCTATAGTCATTTCCTGTCGGGATATTGGATCCATAAACTTTCCACTAACAGGGTCATAGAGTCCTTTATCAACAGCATCTGTGAGGGTCAAAGACATTTCACGGTCCATACTAGTGACACCAAAGTAGGCCTGTGATTGAGATGTGGCAGAGGTACTTATACTGATGTATTCTAGCCTGTTAGCACCTTCCCTACTGATCATTCCAGTATCTACTGCCTCTTGTAGGGAGAACTTCTGTTTGTTTCTAGGATCTGTAAATGTACAACTCACAGGATCAAAAATGTCTCTTTGTATGGCTTCCAACAAGGTCAGTTCAGAGCCTGTTCTTGGATCTATTATGCCTGATTTACTGCGCAACTCTCGTACTAGCTTTCCTTCAATGAAACCAAGTCTTGTAGCTTCAAATAATGAGATTTTCTTTCCTGTTCGAGGATCTATGAATTTTCCACTAGCTGTATCAGTAGTCCACTTTGTATTGCTATAGCTAGTGTCATTTTCTTGCCTGTTTTAGGATTAATTACTGCATTTACATGCAACACTTGGAATCGGGGACCTGAGACCCTTGAGTTGATGTAATTATAGTCTGAACACTTTTCTGAGAGGCGGATTTGGTCGGAATGTGGTGGGATTCAGCGGAAGGTTTACGTTTCCTGTCAGGGCTTTCCTTAGTTATCACAGATACACTTGTTACATTTGCCATCTTCTTAGAGCGTGTAACAGGCACACTAGACACTGAATATGGCTGGTCTTGTTCAGTGTCCATAAACTGCACAATCTCCTCCTGTTCAGGTAGCTTACCAGACTTTGATATGTGGACCTGTCTGGAAAGCTCCTGCTGTTCAGTAGCACTAGAGGGTTGCAAGATAACCTTGCTCTCAAATGTAGCACCATTGATTTGTGTTGGACTGCTGAGCTGGTTGTCAATAGTGTCAAAGTCTATCCAGTGGTAGTCTTCCTCATTCAGCTCAGAGTGGAATGTACGGAATGATGGCATCTCACCAAGGTTCAACTGAAAGACAAAATAATATATGTAATAACTTTATTGATATCTTAATAGTCCTTGAATGTACCTAACCAATACACTTGAAAGTTGAATGCATAACAAAAACTGTTTGAATCAGGCCTTCATTGGAGTAGTATAAGTATCAAAAATACATATAAGAGTATGCAAGATATATCGATATAACTGAAACAAACTTTTTGTGTATAGCACAAAGTAATCCAATTTCTATTATCTCCACCATCTCTTCACAAACCCATATACAGTAGAAGGAAGGATAACATGGACTTGATTGAACACTTAGAAATGCTAGTATTCTACCTGAACATTGATGCCGCCTTTAGCTAACCTCTCTGCAATCTCTCTTAGCCTTGACCTAGTCTGGCCCAGCACTGTGAGGTACTGCTGGTTGAGAGTGTCTAGCTCTACACGCACATTGTCAGCACCAGATTGAATTTTCTGCCGCTTGTTGGCAGCAGCTGCAGCGAGGTTTGGTTGAGTTTCCTCCAGAGCATCTCTGAACTCAGATATCTCTGCATCATGAGCCTAGGAGGACATGTATTACTAATTAACACATGTGAAGCAGTATATATCATAAAGGCTATTTCATTTCATTTCATTAAAAAGTGATTTTAACTTAAGTATAGCTTTGTAAAATGAAGATTTTCATCATCATGTTTTACTTTATGCGCTTGTATTAGCTAATGTAATTCATGAATGGGAAGAGTTTTGAAAAAATGATCTAATACTAAATAACTACTTGTACATGCATGCATAATTGCATATTTACTTATATAAAACATGCAAATTCAAACCAGCATCTTCTATTTGGTTTACCTCACCAATGATTTCTATATTATAATAATAATATCCAGACCTTTGAACCAACACCTAAGACTGAAAGTTCCTATAAACACATGGACATGCAAATAAACTGGATGAACCGAAGTAAAGAACTTTATACTTGTTTCAATGATAAGAAAAATGAGCTACCTGAACAGACTGAATATATGTTTTTAAACAAATGCTAATTCATGCTTTAATGCTTTTCTTCTAGGGCATGCACTCTTTGAGCTCCATATAAAGGTTCATGCATCGAAATAAGACTCAACAGTATGTGGGTTAAAAAGTAACATTTTCTTAAGAGCTGGATTAATATGTAAAATTGTTAGCATCACATTATTGTGATATATGGTAGAAAGCCACCATGCCTTCCAGCATAATTTCTCTAATGCAAATCTGGTATATATAAACAATATTTACATATCAATCTAATGCTTCTAAAAAGAATACTCTTTAACCAACTTGTATAATGAGACCCTGATCCCCTTTAACTACTTGTAAAGATTACTTGTTAAAAGTTTTCATCATGGAGAAGGTAAATGAATATGAAACAAGTATAAAGAAGTTACTTACTTTTAAAGCATACGCAAAGTGTTGGAAACACCTACTAAGCCTGAAAACTTCTGGGGACGAAAACAAATCATGGGTAAAACAAAATATGGGAAAAACAAAACATCGGTAAAACAAAACAGGGTAAGAAACCATTGAACAATTGTGTGGCAACACCATGTGTATCATAGAAAGTAAAGTAAATATTTTAGCAGATTTTACCACACAGAAGACAGATCTTAATTAAGAGGAAGACAAGAATCAATGTACCTCTAATATTGCCAACATGCATCAAGCTATTAGATCAAAATGCCAAATTATTCGACCCATTTAGAGTGCCTAAGAAGATTGACACACAAGTGAGACAAATGCGCGATTTGTGAAAGTTTAAGTCCAACCATAACACAAAAACCAATCCAACAACCAAAGAGTGGGACACATGCACTAATTAGGATCCGACTATAACCCGTAACCATGACATCTAGCAATTGATAAAATACATAAATCTGTATTTAAAAAAAAAAAGAATCTTAACTCGTGTCATCACTCAAAAATGCAACCAAACACATGCTAAGACCAGCTAATACTGGTGATTTCCAACTAGTCTCAAGAACACCTAGTGGAAACCTCCAGTAATTCTACATGACAAGCTACCAAATAGAGCCAAGTGTACAGGAGTTTCTAAATGGTAGAGCCCGGCCCCCAGTGTTACCTTAGCTTTCTCTTATGTAGTTAGCACCATGTTTGTTGACAGCTTCAATGTCATATTTCTTACTCTCAAGGGACTGGTAGAGTTTCTAAAACAAAACAAAATATATGTAATATGTTAGAGCATCTCAATATATATTTATTCTGGATGTAAATATATATTTTGCTACATTTATACAGTTTTGATCTTTACCAGACATCAAATAAATAAATGGATTTTCTTGTACTGGCATTTTCATTTTGGACAACATTATACTTCTTTGTTTATTATATTTCGTACAGTGAGTTAGTCAATATTTTCAATATTTCTATTTCAAATCTTCATAGTATTTATTTTGTGGTGAAATTCAAATCAATCTTGAACTGCTGAATAATCTTGAATAAGTACCTTAACTGGCTCAATCTGTCTGCGTAGGGTGGCTGCATCGTCTGCTAGAGGTGGTTGAGTGGTCACTTTGACCTCCGTCTGCTCAACCCACTTCTGCTCTTTGTTGACACAGCTCTGGTAAGTCAACAACAGATCTTGGGCAGATTCAATACTCTGTGATCTACAAGTTTCAATAAAACATTACACATATATAAATATGTGGATTACTCAAAGTAATCATGAATAAGCTTCAATTAAATAAAAGTATGTCTCCTCAATGAATTTACTATACTCAATTGTGTCAATCAGCTGTTTCTAAGTTCATAAAGGTGTCAGTTTTGTTGCATTTCAATTCTAGCATGCACTTCTATCAGGTTATTAAACGATATATATAATAGCAGACTTTAACTAGACATAATAATAGTGACAGGATAGTCCATGTACAGTTCATCATTTAAGGGGACACATTTTTAATAACTTAGTTGAATGTAAAGAAAAAATAAGAGAATGCCCTCCTAGATAAGGCCCCAATTTCCAGTGTTTGTAATGTTAGGTCATATTCTGCCTTGTTCAAGCGAAGAAATGTGAAGAAAATAATGTTACCTGTTCGAAAACCTGTGTGCAGATATTGTCCCACCTTGATGTTATATCATTAACATCCTTTTGAAGTTTCTCTAGGTCAGGGTGACTCTGGACACCTGGTCGACTTTGAGCAACTAGCTGGGTCACACTCACTGTGTGCCTGGAAGCAGAAAGTAAGCTTATTTTTAAAATATTCACTCCTGATTTTATATGAGGGAAATTAATTTCTTAACAATACTGAACCTTGATCCGGCCAACTGAACCTTGATCCGGCCAAAGTAAAAACATTTTCTGATGTATTATCAGAAAAAGTTTGAGACAACTTTTTTTTAAATGTAAAACATTGATAATACTGATCACAACCAATTTGACTTGAAGTCTGTTTGACCTAGTATCATATCTAATACTCCAAGAGACTTACTTGTTAAGATCTTCGATAATAGCCTGGTTCTGTTGTAGCTTATACTCTAACTCCTGCAGTTCAGCTTGTGAGTGTTTCAGTGAGTCAGCATCACTGGCCATGTTGTCTTGTGAGATGAGGACTCTCTCACATTTATCAACAATACGCCCAGCCTCTGTTGTACAGTGAATAATTCCTTTGCATGACTGTAGTCTAAAATCAAAAAGATAAGATTTATTTCATGCAAAGATCATGCAATATTTGTTCAGCTAATTTTGGAATTTTCATCAATATTTTTCGTAGATTTTTTAATATATTTTAATTGATCAAGTCAGATTTATTCATCTACGCTTGATTACATCTGTTAGGAAAACACTAGCTTAACATCACATACTGTATAACCTATCAAGCTAATGGCTAAAATACAACAAGAATTGTGAACCGTTCTGAAAAGTCGTCAACCTTTATATAGACTTTTTACCTGTCTACATAGAGTTTAGAGTTTTCCCATAGTTTCTCCCACTTGTCGATGACCTGCTTCAGTTTGCTGCCTAGAACAGGGTTCTGGGCACCAAGGGTCTGGCAGTATTTCTGCATGGAATCAACCTGTGGCTCAAACTGTTGAAGCTGACCCTCAAGCTCCTAAAAATACACAAACATTTTGAAATTCTGCAACTCCAAATTAGGAGCATAAGCATACATCAGTGAAAAGCTAAGACTGTACTGTATGTAAATGTTGATAAACATGGACTCTTTGAATCTTGATCATATGAAAGACATGCCATGGTGTTAACATGCACATTACAATACCTCATATAAGCCCTTGGTCTTTAATTCTATTCCTACTGTCTATTTGTCTAGAAACTAGGAGATAGTACACATTGCATCATAGTACTACTTACTCTGTGTGTTTTGTGAGCTTATCCAGTGTTGGCTGGTCCCTAGGCAGACCATCAGCAAGTCTTGCAGCAAGAGTTGAATCAACAAAGTCAAGAGTTCTTCGTAAGGTATCCAGTTGTTCCCCGAGGACTTGGGCTGGACCCTTCATTTGAGCTTCTGTAAATGCCATCAAACATATGTATAGATGTTATATATTTTTTCAAATTATACAGATTATATGTGTATATAGGAAGGACCAAGCAAGAAATGTGTTGTCACAAATTGAGATAACAACATGAAACATGTTAACGATATATCAACAGTTGAACAGTTGTATGTGAAATTCAATGTCTAACAAAAAGCTCTGATTACATCTGATTAATCTTGGAAATATGACAACAATTGTAAATCCAGTCGTGAGGTGTGTTATACCACATGTATCTGTGCATGTTATATGTCACATTATCTATGTATGTGATATGCCAAATATATATGTGTATGTGATATACCACATGGATCTGTGTATGTGATATACCACATATATCTGTGTATGTGATATGTCAAATATATCTGTGTATGTGATATACCACTTGTATGTGTGTATGTGACAAATACATCCATGTATGTGATATGCCACATATATCCAAGTTTGTGATATACCACATATACCTGGTATCCATGTTTGTGATATACTACATATATCTGTGTAAATTACGTATTATTACTGGTCTTATTGGTTGTGGTTGATGATCAAGAGGAAAACAACAGGCTGATGACAAGATAAGTGCATATAAAATATTACTATATGTATTGAATCTATCTATTTTGTTTTAAGTGGTTTTGGTTATACTTTAATATAGTAATGTGACGTACTTGAACATAGCTCAGTGCTTGTTCTTTACCTTATTTATAATGAATCTTTCCATTAGATTAACGAAGTATTTTAGTGTATCCTCTACCATATGGTGTTTGGTGTATTTTAGTGTAACCTCTACCATATGGTGTATGGTGTTCAAATAGTTTTAGTATGGAAAGAAGTTGTGGCAAGAAGAAAATGTTTATAACAATCATTAGAATGTCCTAGCACAGTTGTATAATTCAAATATCTATAAAATATGTATTGGGTGTCCATGAAGTTATTACCACCAATCTTCATAGAAATGCAAAAATGGAAGTGTGGTAACTTAATGAACACCTTGTACATGTGATCTATAGTAATATAAGTGACTGTTTAAAGGTGAAGTGTTATATTACAGATATTTGAACCAAATGACAATGTTAAAACTTAATTCATATGATATTGAAGATCAATATATATGGTTTAGAAGTTTAGAATGTGGATGGGAGGGGGTGCAAATCACCTTGTCTATGGGGTTGGGGTGGGAGGTCAGGTACAGTGATATCTGCCCCTAAAATGCAAACATAATTACTATACAGTTAAAGCCTGTATCAAATAAGCCATCTTGTTTCATGAATCTTGGTTCCTCATTCTCAGATTATTATCTGAGATCAATAACACCAGGCTCACAGTCTAATAAGCAAGGCAACGATTGATAACTACTCTACATACTAGGTATTTAGTGCTGACCTATACTTTCTGTTTTATCATTTGCTATTATTTGGTGAGTGATAAACTATTACACTACAATAAGCAAATTGCTACAAAATCTACACACTAATATATTCTCAAAGCTATTTTCAGTTTTTATGACAAATATGTCCATGGTTTTATTCCATTCTTATTCGTATCTTAACATTTGGTGCAAAAGCGTAATTCTACATTGTACATTCAATCTTACCTTCTTGTTTTGCTTTAGTAGAAAGTTCAACAAATATCTCATTACAGTGTCTCATCTCCGACTGCAGACGTCGGAGTTCAGATGCACTGAGTCCAGAATCTTGCGAAAAACTGTCGAGATCTTCATTGAGGGCTCGGAATATAGCCTGGCGCTTTGCAGGATCTAAACTTTGGAACTGAAACAGAGAGCAAACATTATTATTGATCAGAGTGGCATTCACTATTATACTGATACAATTTTATCTAAATAAATAAATGATGTACAAAATAAAGTTGATGAGCACAAGGGGTAACTGACACAGACTGATAACATGACTTTCAATTTGACTGAGTAAAGCCAAAGGCAGAATTAGATATACAGAGTGACAAATTGATTTATAGAGGGACTGATTCATGTTTGATTGGCTGCTATGTTAGAATAAGTATATAGCAAATCTCACTTTTTGTAGATCCCACCCTTTCACTTCCTTAATTGTGGCATAGATGAAATTTAGCTTTAATTTTCTCTCTTTCAATTTCCAGATGCCTTGTATCTGCTGTAACTGTCTCTGTAGCCTACAATACAAATAACAACTTGTCCTATCTTTTCATCGCATCATGGTTTAGGATTTAAAAATCCCATTGTTTTTTTTGAAATATCAAACATTATTATTAAGAGTAAAATACAGTAACACAGTAACATGTAAATACGACAAATTCAAAGGTGTCAATACTGTCCACAATATCTTAAAATAAAGAAAACAAGACACACTGTGGTAAATATGGCACTTTAAAGAGCAAATGCCTATCAGCACAAGATGACGGCAATATAGCACTTTTTCAAACTGTGATAATAAAAAGTCCCTAAGGTACTTACCTCTGTGCATAATCTATAGCCTCCTGGCAGGGAGGGGGGATCAGGAAGCATACAGCGGGACCATGCTCTCCTGACCTGCTGAGTTAGTTACTCGCCATTTAAGCTTTTGAGTGTTATCATACAGAACACATTCTTCATCTTTCTCTATGCCCATCTGAAATAAAAAAAAATACATGCAATAAGTATTTTGATAAAACATGACAAAAAAACACTAGATGTTTTGACAACATATCAAGCTTGACATGAAAACTGACAAATCAAGTTATAATTTGTACTCTGTGAACTTTGGATTTGTAGTCTTACCTTAAGCTGTTTGTAGTTGCAGAGTGCCTTCACCCTAGTGGGTCCAGGTAGTGGGTGTCTGCGTGCCTTCAGAGGTACAACCTGAGTGCTACGGGGGACTAACGAGTCAGTGATGTGTTGGTATTCACCTAATAACTCGCCTAGCTCCTGAAAATGAACAACATTTAGAATTTGTAATTTCTCTACAATTTGAGGTACTTGAATATTCAAAGAAAATAATGATGAGTTGTCTTTTCCTCATGTTTGTCTTTTGAACTAAATGTGAGTTTCTTACTCTGATCTCCCTCATGAGTTTATCAGCATCATCCAGACTTGGTTCTTGTCTATCATAGTAAGTATTGAGCAATTCTGTTTGTTTGTTCATCCAGGCCTCAGAGTCTGCAGCCTCATCATAGAATGCATGATAGGTGGCAGCATGCTTCAGGTGTGTCTCCAAGCAGAGTGTCAACTGAAGCAGCCAGGACCACTGAGTCTGCATGGCAGCCATGTAAGCCTGCAAGGAGAATTTGGTGTGTTATATTTTGAACATACAATTATTACAATGACACTGCAAACGGAGAAAACAAATTGTATAAGTCATCCCAAATGTGAAAATAAAATAAAATGTACATGCATATAAGACAATTGAATTATTTTGTGTTCTACATCATTTGAAGAAACCTCAATTGCTAAAACTTAACTTGTAAACAATACTGTAGCTTTGGTGGTTGCGGAGTAGCATAAATCACAGTATATGGCAAAGAGTGCACAAATTCATTCATTCACATTCCAAAAATGTGTAGTTCACTGAAGTAAATTACCTCTATGGTTTCAGCTGCAGGATGTCTTTCTAACCTAAGTGCAGCACCACGATCCTGAACAGCATTAAACTGTGCTTCCCTCTTCTCTAATTGCACCATCAAACTCTGGAATATACATTAAGAATATATGAAGTCAATTCTATAAGGTCCATTTCACAGAGGGAATTCCTTATGAGACAATTTGATTGATGTTGCTGCTTTTGGTGCCATTGGATAATCTTGTAACAAAAAACCATCTGAGATGTTATTCAATTGGAACACATACTTGATCAATAAGATGATCTACTTATACATCTACTTATAGACATGTTAACTTAAAATAAGCTTTAATATAAACAAGCTGCAAAATAAAGGAGTTTAATATTTGATTGGCCCAATTAGGATTAACACTGTTGTCATAATATTACTCAATTTATTTGAATGGCTGCATCCTTAAGTACATAAATATTTCTGACAAAGTGTTTATATGAAAGTTACAAAATAATACATGCTGAGAATTCATTATAAAGAACTCATTAAAGTCATTCCATAGGCCATTCAAAACCAAATAAAGGCAAATCAAAAATCAAACTGCAAAAAAATTCACAAAATAAATAAATACTAATATTTGACTCTTACCTTGTGGTAATTTTCAATTTCATTTAATTTCAGATCTTTTGAACTCCAATCTCTAGCTATTTCAATTTCTTCTTTTTCATTTAACCACATAAGTTCATTAGTTGATGCTTGGATATAGTCCAGCAGTGTTTCTAAGCATTTAAGTCTTCTCGTTGAGGTGGTTTGTAGCACATTGTAGGCAACTTCAACCTTGGACAGCCATGTTTCATACAGTTTAGCCTCATCACCTCGCAATGTTTTCTACAACAGTCAAATACATACAGTTTACCTCATTACTTTACAATCTTTTCTATGACAGTTACTTTGAGAAAAATAGTCCAGAACAAAGTGGTAACATTAAACATCTCTGCAATATTCAAGTAATGAAATTACAGGGACCTGTTTTCTTTAAAGTAATTTGTTTTTCCATTACTTATAACAATCAGGCCATCTGTCTCTTTTGAGTACCAAATATAGCTATATTCTGATTCAAGTATTAAATATTCATTCATCATAGTATTTTTGAATTAATCACTAAGTGGAGACTACAATAATGAATGAATGAATTTGAACCATTCACAAATATAAATGTTAGCAGTTTTTAGTTTGTTGTACATACTTTGAGGCCGATAGAGTGGTCTATTCTGGTCCTGTACCTCTGTATCTCATTGTGTAGTAACTTGTGGGCATCAAGTCCATCCTTACTACTTGGCAGGTCATTTCCATATTCACCTGCTTCTATGGCACTCTACAGAATATAAAAATATAAACATTTTGTAATTTAGTTCTATCTTTCTGGTGAAGTGGTTTCTCAAGAACTGAAGCAAGCAGGTGATGCACCCAAGTGAAAATCTATTTGCACCCATTTGCTCCCAGTTTCACAAATGTACAATAAAAATATTAAGCATGTGAAAATACATATTTCTAAAGCGTTTACAAGATGATGTCCCTTTACCTGTTTATCATGAATGTAGTTAAGACATTCTTGCACATGTCTGAAAGCTTCATTAGTTTCCACCAGCCTCACTTCCATTAGCTCTTCAGTAGTTTTTGTAGTTTGTACACTTTCTTGTATATAACTCCTGGAGGTTAACTTAGGAATGAGTCCCTCTTGTAATCTGTGGTGCAGATTTGTGTAGCGTTGATGTAGTAGGTACACACTGGAAAAATAATAATTATTTTACACCATTAATATCTAGTCAAATTCTTACATAGTTTCGCTGTCAAGCACATACTTACAGTAAATAGACATGGTAGAAATTATATATGGACCTTAAAAAGATCAATAACTTTCAATGGGACAAGTCAGTAGACAAGAAAGATCTATTTCCCTTCATAGCTCAAATGAACAATCTTTTGCTGCTCAGAATCAAAGTAAATAAAAAAAGAAATAATATGATGATATGTGGCAATTTTAAAACAGTGATTTATTTCTATGCTGCAGGAGAGCAAAATCTTCTTGATACGAGTACAACATGCTTTTATGACAGAAAGCACTAATGATACTTGAACTACTAACCGTCTGTACATCTGATCTGCTTGGTGATATTTGCCTTCTTTGAGTGACTGTATGTCAGCAAACATTGAACGTAGTGACTCCTCAGTTTTTCTGAGTGCCTGTTGCAGCTGGTCACAACTCCTCTTGGCATCAAGGGGGTGGATCTTGTCTATGTGCTTCTCATCCTGAAATCATGAGATAATTTTCTTTTTAACTTTATTCATAACTTTTATAATTTTTCAACATGTATCATGATTTTCAATTTACTGACAGAAGGGTGTAAATTTAAGATAAGTTCAAAGTGGTAAGTGTTTCATTTGAAGATTTATACTAGTTTTACTATTTCACTTACATCGTTTATCTTTCTCTCTACATCATTAAGTGTATCTTCACAGATGTTACTATCTTTGTGGACCTTTTCTGCCAGCCTCTGTAGCCTGTCCAACCTAGAACACACATGTAAATGGATGGTTTACTTGTTTGTTCAACTAGCCTAATCTTACCATCTGTTTTTCAATGCTAGTTCTCTCATAATATTTAAATACATGTATATTAAAGACTTTTTTCGAATAAAACAATAAAGGTTGTCCACTCACTCAGTTTTAACCACACTTTGCTGTAGTTCATATACATGCAACTGTACTTCATATAAGGGGAAATGTAACTTATTATAGAACAAACCTAGAAGGCAAAAGGATAAAGTTTTCTCCTTTAAGGAAGACCACTCCATTACAACACTGGTTTACCTTGCAATTTCAGCTTGTAGAGCCATATCTCTCTCTTGAAGTGCCAGTGTGAACTTATCCCATAACCTGGCAACATTGTCAATGTGGATCTCCTCGTCACGCTCTATCTCATAGAGACCTGAGTTTAGTACCAAATTCTGTAATAGAAAGAAAATGATGTACTTCCAGGAAAACAGAGTATACCTGAGTTTAGTACCAAATTCTGTAACAGAAAGAAAATGATGTACCTCAAGGAAAACAGAGTACAAGAGTCAGTTTTGCAGATTTCACCTTCTTAGTGCACAATGCATAAATATATCTTTGTCTGACAAATGATTCCTAAAAATCTGAGAACAGAGGCAACAATAAATTCAAATTTCGACACAGAAAACTTGATTTTTCTCCATTCTTTATTGAAGTTAAGAATATTTATTCACGCTGGTCCCTCTCTAAACATTTCTTACTTTTGCAAAAATAAATGTGTATTCTTGCAACTCATTAAATTAATTTTTTGTCAGATTAGATTAATCTACGTTATGTCATATTATTAATACACATATTCAAGATACAATATACTCTTACATCTCCTACAAATTACAAGACGAGATGTCACATGTATTGCAGGTAAACACTATAACCAATTAATTAAATACAATTTAAACCTGTATGTATAACAGTATCACTAAGGCTGTGGTCACATTTGCTACAATCTGCACCTGCGCCTGACTGAGTATTTTGTTCAAAATTCTCATTGGCCGGGTGCCGGTACTGAAAATCGGACCAAATGTGACCAAGGCACAAATTATACAAAACATCACCTACATACTTTAACTAGTCTTCAAATGTTTAAAGAGCAAGAGTCAGGTCATGATGTTTTTGTCATCTGAACACGTATACGATGTCAATGTGCATTTTTCTACTGATAACATTAACTGATACTTATGTACATCACGATACACCGTGATAGGGAAAGTGATAATTGGTGGAAGGTGAATGTATTTAAGTTACAAAGTTCTATTTTACAGACTAGAGTATTGAAATGGTCCGTTATTAGGTAAACCGAATGTTGACCCCTGTATAAAATATACAGATCTTTTATCCCTTGACCAAAGATTCATGTTTTATCAATCCGATATTATATAAGCACCATTTAAGCTACCTAACCCTTCCTATATTATATAATTTTATCAAATTATCAATAAAAAAAATTAATTATCATTTACATGTATTTATATCTACAGTATATATAAAGAAGCCCCCATATACACATTATGTGCAAAGAAGCCATGATATTTGCACATGCCCCTTGATATATTCATAGTATATTGTGCATTATACAGAAACGTAAAGCCCCCCTCCCCCAACCCTTCTTCCACATTGAACAAAGAGCATTATGTACAAACAAACCCCAACATAATTATGTAAAATGTTAGAAAGCCTGAACATTGATGAACTTTGTTATCTACACTAACTATGTGAACATATGTGATAGCTTTAGTATTTCTGTGCTACATGAACTAGTTCTATGTACAAGGTACCTCATCGTTAATCATATCCTGCAAACAACACAAACACATTATAAGCTGTGGAAACTACATATATCTATGATAATTATCATTTGCAATTGTAAAATGTCTATAGTAATAGCTACACAGAATGAAAGTTTTGAACGAGTAGCTAAGAAACAAAAGAAAAAAGAAAAAAAAAATATTTCAAAAATTTCATGCCACACCCCATAAATAAGTTGTGACAAAATTTCCGATGACCCCTCATATTAATCATACTTTTCTGTTTAAGATCAGACTTTGTTTTGAAATGAGAAAGAATATGTTAATTCCTTTATGAATTTAATTTCTGAAAAAGTGTGATCAACATGTCACCCAATAGATTTATTTTCCAAACTTATTCAGGGGATTGCATGCACACTCAACAATAATTAGAAAATAATATAAATGACACATGAAAATACAAGTATGATGTAATCTCACCTGTAGCTCCTCCCATGCCTGTCCAAGTCTCTGTCGGTCTGTGAATCGAGGGGGGACGTCCTCCATCCTAAACCGACTTAGATCAGCCAATAGGGACTGAAATCACAATATGGAATGACAATCACAATATTGATTCATTGAAGTAAAATCCATGAGATGTAAAAATGGAGTTCATATGGAGTTTTGGGTCTTAAAAATATATAGGTGGGAATGAATGAGAGATTCATTTTAAGTAGGGTTCTTGGAACTTGGATAAGAAATATAGAGGTCAGGTTATCAGATCTTTGATCGTACAATCTTACATAAATCATATGCTTCATGACTTTCATGTTTACATCTTCAGATAGCAGAAACAATTAACTGCATATAAAACTTTGGAAAATGTTTTTGTAATATTTGTTACATATAAAAATCCTAATTGCAAATATTCTTATATGTCACACCAATAACAAAAAATATGTTGGCTTCATTGTAGAGATAAAGGTGAACATCCAGTATATGACATCCCACTATGTGATGTATGGTTTGGATACTCATTGATGACCTCAAAATGCCCTAATTTATTTTTTATATAATGCACTGTAATTTCCCTTCCTGTGAATATGAAAGGTTAGTAAGAGAATCTACTTCACAGATTGTATGGGATGCAACCACCTTAAGGTCCTTTGATATTTTCAGAAAAGAAGTTCAAGGTTGCCATATCATATTTTGCAAAGTTATTTACAGGTTGAGCCCCTTTAAGTAATTTACACCTCAAAAATATTCACATTGTGCTTTATTTGTACTTACTTTCATCTCAATGAGTGTAGCAGGGAATCTGCGATCTAACATCATGCCGGTAGAGTCTCGTAACCATAGTAACAATGATGACGCAAGGTCTTTGTATTCTTCATATTTTAGCTGACGCTCCTTTAGAATAAAAATCAGCCATATTAAAACTGCTCCTAGGATCCCAGTGTACACCATAAACATGTACATATTGCTGGTGTCTCTTGAAGAACCAAGAATGATCACGAAATCACAGAAACATTTGCAGTTTTATCTTGTTCTTCAAACGAGTTCAAACTCTACCTATTTGCTACTTTCTGAAGAAAACCCAACTTTTCTGACTTTTCCCCAAGTTATTTTTGCTTTAAGGTTAAGTATCCACAGATTACATATAAAACTCAATCTTCTCCTGCTAATTTTATAGCAGAAACCCAGCAGCAAGTGAAATCCATAACCTTTCGAAATATTGTATGAATATGTTTTTGCACTCAGCATTTACAACATGTACTATGTGCCTAATCAACACATAGTCTAAAGTAGAAATGAACAACTGTTTTTACTGCTGTATTTTTTCATTTCAGAGATAACAGAATCAGAGTTCGCCTATTTCAGTTACACCTACATTGTTTACCCAGGTTTATCAAAAATAACTCAAAGGTCACTTTATTTTCACCCCAATCTGAGATCATCTAAAATTGTTGATTTAGATTCAATATTTTAAAAATCAATAGATAATGCCGGCTGTTTGGTGCATTCAGTCAACACACCAGACATAACAACTGGTATGGTAATGAACATATTGAATTTGATAAATATTGGCATTTAATTGAAAATTAAAACAATCACAAAAACAGCTGATTTAACATGTGCTTTATCTGCATTTTCCCATTCATGCTACTATATAATATATATACCTCTGTGTGTAGTAACTATCATTTTTAGCAAAGCAATAAAATATAAAATTATTTGAGAAAACCAAACAAAAGATGTCACTCACATTATCTCGCAATGACTGATCCAGACTGGGGACTTCTGGGAATACGTCATAGAGCGCGGATACATACGTCATCAAGGATTTCTCATCTGGGAGGGCAACATCAACATCTAGAGAGAAACATATGTTTAGAAATTTTGTATGTCCAGTATAAAACACACATACATGTATTATATATCAATATATGGCTATTTCATTTAACAAGGCACAGGACGTGAACGAGATCACACCATCAAATAGGCAGACACTATGAACCAGGAAAACTGTTCTCCTATTATGTTTACAAATTTCAAGAACAAGAAAAAAAATGTTGGCTGTGGTCATATTAATCAAGTGCTCACATCTTGAGCTAAAATTTAAGGCAATATGACAAAGTGGATTGTTTTCGATGAGAAGATTTATTGAAAAACCTTCAAAATGGCCGCCAGAAAACAAAGTGGCCACCCAAAATTTAAAAGTTCTAGAACTTGATATCCCCTATCATGTACAGGAAATCCGATGAGCGGTTTTCCTGAAATGGCGATGACAAGATTTTTCGAAAAACCTTAAAAATGGCCACCAGAAAACAAGATGGCCGCCCAAAAGATAATCAGCTCTAGTACTTGATATCCTCTATCATCTGTGCGAATTTGAAGGAAATCCGATGAGCGGTTTTCCTGAAACGGCAATGACAAGATTTTTCAAAAAACCTTCAAAATGGCCACCAGAAAACAAGATGGCCGCCCAAAAGTTAATCAGCTCTAGTCCTTGATATCCTCTATCATTTGTGTAAATTTGAAGGAAATCCGATGAGCGGTTTTTCTGAAAAGGCAATGACAAGATTTTTCGAAAAAACCTTCAAAATGGCCACCAGAAAACAAGATGGCCGCCCAAAAGTTAATCAGCTCTAGTACTTGATATTCTCTATCATTTGTGTAAATTTGAAGGAAATCCAATGAGCGGTTTTCCTGAAATGGCGATGACAAGATTTTTCGAAAAATCTTCAAAATGGCCGCCAGAAAACAAGATGGCCACCCAAAAGTTAATCAGCTCTAGTACTTCATATGCTCTATCATCTCTGCGAATTTGGAGAAAATCTGATGAGCAGTTTTCCTTAAACGGCGATGACAAAAAGCGGGACGATCACGACCACGATCACGACCACGACCACGATCACGACCACAATCACGACCACGATCACGACCAGTATGACGACTATATCCCACCGATGGTGTGATAAATATAAATATTTGCATGTAAATTAAAAAGTGTTGTTTTTTTGACAAAAATATCAGACCATTGATGAACATGTGGAAGAACATTTAACACTATGCAACCTGTTGGAATGTAAGGTTAAGAAACACAGATTTACAGGCTATGTACCTGCCACGTACTATCTATAATATCTAGAAAGTTAACCAACACTTTAGCTATCTATTGAGGGGTAGTAACCCTTGACATTAAAATCATCATTTTTTCTATAGGTGTCAGTTTGGGATGAACTGTTCACAGCTAGACTCCATTATAATCAGAGAGTATATAAACAACTAACAACAGTGCTATAGCTATATGTTTTACCCTTTCATATAGTTAGATTTGGCTTCTTTAGATGAGAGCTTCAAAGATACTCTGGCATTTATTTTTGAATTGAAAATCTCATTAATCTCATTCTCTTATTCAGAGTCGTATATACTATGCAGGATTTTTTAAATTATGCCCTTAGACAAGGAGTATGTTTTCTTAATATAAAAAAATATGGATTATATGAGCATTTTCGATACATGGATCATCATTTTCAAAAAATATCAAACTTCAGAGGTTAATTAATGCAACTTGAGCCAAAAATTATGACATCTAATCATTACTCAATGCATGAACAATGTTGCCTAAATGATTTAAAATATTGGCATAACAAGCACGATGCTTTAGGCATTAGATCACTAATAAATCATTGACAAATATTTCATCAATCATTAAATGGTCCATTTGTATTAATAAACAACATAAGCCAAGATAACCGAGGTATCGCCACCTGTTTGCCATATAGACACACGTGACAGGTATGATGTCACGTACAGAGCATTATAATCAAAGCATAATCACACTAACATCATTATAAATAACGACTGGGTCATAAACTATATTCTAAAAAGTAATAGCATTCCAAAGGGTAAGTTGTTAAATAACCAGAGGGGATATGCATGTGAACATTACAAGAGTTTGGGTCAATGGTTATAACCTACAGCAGGTTGATAGGTAAATTGAATGGAAAATTGCTGATGAAGTGGACCAGCTGAACAGTTAAAGTCCCCGTCTTAAGTTTGAAAATATTTTTTTATCATTCATTTACTATTTGTCATGACTTAAAAAGTTATTCTAGAGATTTTTGAAAGAAAAAATTTTTTGAAAAAAAAGTTGTGAGTATTTCATTTCTCAAATATTCAAATTTCCCGCCATTTTTCAAAATAAGTTGTAATTTTTTAATCATCAAATATTTCTTAATGCATTTCGAAAAAGATTATCTTTTTAACATCAATGCAAAGATTGATCAAAGGACACACTATTTCAATAATAAAATGCCATATTTAATGGACCACTTCAATGTTTTAGCATATCAAAAATATTTTGCACCATTAGTGATGTCACTAAGGTAACCAAACCTTTTTGAAAAAAATTGAAATTTTTTTTTTCGATGTCAATCTTTTCTAATTATGCTAGACTTCAATAGTATACCAATGTTGATTGTCTAACCAGGTTAAAAGGAAGAATATATTATGTTTTAGATATCATTGTACCATTGGTTTCTATGAGAACTAGAATTTTTAAATGCATTTTTCTCGGAACCATTTTCATGCACTGATAAGTTCATTTCTCGCTTATTTATGAACCGATTTTCTTAATTTTTTCGGCAAAAAACATGCGAGGATGAATGTTATGCATTGGTATGAGTTGTTGCTAATTAAAAGATATGTATGACCTCTAAAAGTTAGTTTTAAATAAATTCACAAATTTTGGAACAAAAAGTCTATCAAAAACCACTTTTTGAAATTAAAAAAAAAAGTTTCACATATCACACTTTGATAACATTGGGTAAGACTACAATATAAGCCAAAGTGGTTTAAACTTTAGATGGGGACTTTAAGGTTTTCACACGAATTGGTTACACAAGAAAATGTGATCACCGACTGTTTATATTTCCTGCTTATCCCATATTAGCAAATATTTGAGAAGGTTTCTGAATTTTTTATTAATTTCAAAAGCTTTTGTTAAATGTCCCATTTGATAATTCATAATTATTATTTCAGTAAATGAGACGTTATGTGTAAATATTATTGTGGATAAACAATTAATCAAGACTAAGCATGCATTACTGACTCATTTTCTTACTAGAACAAGGAAAATATTAATTTTTGATGGTTAATCCCCATTCCCTTTATTGGATAGCGGCTTCCTACAGGTTACACAGGAAGTGAAAATATGGGAACATGATGAGACTGGAGTAAAATCTGAACACTTCTCTATGTGAACACTTTTTGGTCTGAATCCTATTATCTAACATTGAGTCACATATTAAGAAACCTTGTGAACACCAACTAATCAAAATACTTTTAGCCAGTCCCAGTAGTGTTTACATAAGACAGATTTTACTGTATTGTTTATTTAGGAGGGATCGTTACACTAATAACTATATGGTTTATATAGGAGAGGAGGAGATGGTAACATTTACATGCTCAATTTATTCAACTCACCTTCTGCATCTAGTAGTTTAGTGACACCAAATTCTTTCTCTGCAGTGTTAAATGCAAGGTCCAGGTTCTGTTTAGGGGTGTTGGCTCGCACTTGTCTGAAATCTATGAGGTCTGGCCTGGAAACATATAATATAATATTATGTTTAAATGGAGCAATTTATTTGAGCATTATCAGTGTGACAAATGTAATCTTATGGAAGGAAGGGTGTAACACAAGAAACAAGGCATTAACATGCAAAATGTCTCCACCTGCCATTTGTTACAGACCACCAACTGCTAAATGCCAATCACTGAATACCCTCCACAAGACTATAACAATATGTGTTACAAAAGAGAGGAGTGTAAAACAGGAAAAAGGTGAAACAAAAAGAGAGGGTATAATACGAAAGGGAGGAGTTTCAAACAGTGCAAGATGGGCATAATATAACATGTACAAATGTAACATACAATAATGATTTAGATAATACTTATCTGCTCATGCTACTCATGATTAGGAAAAGCAATTCAATTTCTAACAAATCATACTGATGTGAGATAAATGTATTTCCTTAGCTAAGAAAACTAGAACATGTAAAATATCATGTTACAGTATTTGTTAGATTAATATTTAAGATGCAGTTGATCCAAAAGCAAAACAATAAAAAATATAGATATTTTAGCTTGAGAGTACATATTTGATCAATACTGTACAGAAATAACTCAAGGGTGCATATTGAGCTATATAATAGCACGATGTACATAATGATGCATATTGGAGATATTGATAGCGTTTCTGAATCAAGTTTTGCCAATAAAAACATGTAATGCTTTGCTCAATGAAATGTATCCCGACACAGTTAATACATAGCTCAATGAATTCAAAGCCATTGTTTAAATGAGAGATCAAGTTGATAGGATGAAGTGAATAGTTCCAACCTACCCAACTTTACGACTTCTTCTACTCAAACAGCCACATGTAGACCCCATCTCTACATAATAATATAGGGCACAGTGGTTGAGATAAAGAAATCAGCTGATTCAATATATCATTTTCTTTGATAAATCCTTTCTTCCAATGTATATACTGTGTATATGTTGTTGATAATATTGCTTTGATTGTGTCTGACAGCAAATCACATTATGCATCAGATTTCCAATTAAAGTAGATAACTTAAACCAAGACTATAACATCAATATATCAAACACTGAGCGCATCTGCTACACATTCTTCAACATAACATTGATTTGTCACTATATAAACTGAATGTATGTTATTTTACAGAGCAATTGTAATCCCTGGAAACTGCATCCTACATGTATTCATATATCCACAGTAATATGCAGCAGAGATAGCTGATGATGCTTTACTCCAGTATTGATGATTCTACACCATACAACATGTCAGTACAAATAGCATTCACTTGAGGCAGGTTTTAAACAGTTCCAATCCTGCATAAGAATGAATCTGGCCAACTACCTTTGCTCCAAGTATATACTAAATACTTATTATCATGCACCAAATGAACCAACCGAGAATAGAACTGTTAATCACGCACTATAATGAAAATATTTCCAAGGATCACCACTGATGCCATTCTTAATATATTGTCAAGTCAACTAATACTTATATATGGAGAGATCTATCAATGTACTTGTATCTTGGCTGTAATTGTTTCACCAGAGAGCTGGAGTTCCTAATGATATCACTCACACCTGTGTGCACCTTTATTCATCATAATCAATACCTTAATATAGATTTTATTCTGACGCAAATTGGACACACTCTGAGTTAATCCCTCATTCTATGGAGTAATATCTACATGGATATTCTATTCAACGTGCACAAGATCATGTTATTAACATGAATAAAATCCAGGTTATCGCAATCTTAAATGTTACTGCATTAAAACAAAGCAATTTGATCAATAAAATTGACTGAACAATACTCGTGTTGATCATTTACCGAGTCATATAAGATACTATAGGTCATGACAACTGTAAAGGTCGCAACATACTCTGGTGTGCAAGAAAAACTTGATATTTCTCCCTGTAAATTTTTTTTATTGCGATTTGAGGATTTAGTTACATAAAAGATGAATATAAATAAAAGAAATGAATATGTAACATGCAAGTCATGTATGTCACACCGAGCTTATTCAATTTGCATGAAAAATTCCAAGTCAAGTTATCAATATCATTTTATAGCATTTTAAGTATTGAGATATAATAGATGAAAGAATGGAAGGAAGATTATGAACATAACAACTGTCCAAAGACTAGACATAAAGATAAGGCAGGAACACTTGCCTTTCATTGATGGTGTAATAGTCATGACATAATGTAGATATAAAGAGACCAATAGATTTAAATTGAGAAATCCTTCAGTTTTATTTGCAAACTTGCTTGTTAACGGTTAAAAGTTAATTAGCCAGATTACTAATTCCTCTCTTCCTACCTTAACTGGTTTTATTAGATAAAATCTTAAATGTTAAAAATTTGGATCATTTTGAAGACATGGCCAAATAATAATGTTTATTGTTCAAAATGTTTGATTGATATGACGTTCATAAATAGCCAGCGCTAAATAATAGTTGCACATTTAGGTATATTGATTTACACCACTAAGGTATTCAAAATGAACTGATATGTTTTCTCAAAAAATATTTTTTCACAATACAAGTATTAATTTCTGAATCTATATTTTTTCTATGTAGAAAATCAGTGCAAATAAGTCATTCACCCAATAAACTAACTTTAATTTACATTTTAGAATTCTGTGTCAATTCGGTGATGAATCAGAAATATGCAAACATAAAAAATAAAATAAATGGATATTCTTCGAATGACATTCTGCGAAGTGAGGTATGCTTGCATCTGATAATGCTTTAAACTTCTTTCAAAAAGAAACTCACTGTAAATATCTTGAAATAGTAAGTGAATCAAGAAATATATTATAGGCACATTGTATAACCTCAACATACAAATTCCAATCCATCAAAGAATTCTATAATTCTTTTGTTACAGCAAAATGAGCTGGCCTTTGTCAAAAATGATTTATTACCCAGTATAACCCATACTGCAGTTATTCAGGGATCGGCATGTATCATGTTATCATGAAAACATTTCTCAACATACAGATTTAAATATTATAACTTTTTAGTTAAGATTCAGTATGCT